GGCCGTCATCGACGGGGCCCTTACGTTTTTCGAATTGTCGCAGGACACGTTCGCCCGATTCCAATTTCCCATTTTCCATTATTCGAGTGTTTGTCATTACGAGTGTTTTCCAAGTCGAAAACAAATCAACCGACGAGAGGGACGAGGAGGCTGGTGAATACACCCACAAAAATAATAAATTTTAACTCGATTTTTCCTCTATTTGTAGCCCAATGTTTAATATAAACTTTGATAGTATGAAATACAAAAAAAGTCTTCTCAAGACACTGAAAGGTCACCGTTAGTATAACGGCCCGAGATTGCAATAAAAAAAGTCCATAAAACAGGAAGGTATTCTGATGGGGAATTTTTCTGCGTGTAGGCGATATGTTTGAGACTTTTCGCGATAGCCGTAATGATATTGTTTTTATTGTGATTACGAAGAGGTCGAGTCTCGGTGCATCGCAGCAGGCTGGCCTGGAGCGTTGCTCATTAGAACACACTTCATCGCAGCGGGCCCGGAGAACTCTTCAATTGTCTCAAACGCCGTGAAGAGTCGGAGTTTGTGCGCTCTCTTCGCTTTCTCTCGTCGGCCCTCCGCGACTTTTCTTTTTGCCGTTCCGGGCGCGTCGAGTCGCGAATCGCGTGATGACTCGCACGCATCTTCATCCCGTTTCATCGATGGAATTGTTGAGGCTGATCGAATTTATAGTGGATTTCGTAAGTGGGATATTATTCCGGGACGACGAGTGGAATGTGGGACTCGCGGTTATCGACAATGGATGAGTCCCGTCGAAGCGAAAATAGATTGTTTGCATTCTTTCGAATTTTCGATACCTATTTTTAGCCGCTGCAGAGGTGTGGCGTATTTCGATTGCAACAAAATAGTGGCCATTCGAACTTATTATGCGGCCCTCGACATTGCAATGGATATCGTAAATATCCTTAACGCCATTAAGTGGCAGAAACGCCGTCAAATAAAATCCAGATTCGTCTGGCATTGTCGCTTCGTAAACTATGCGAACGCACCGACACAAAAATTATGACCTGACATTCCGATGAAATTGAAATAGCCAAAACAAATACTACGCCGGATCGACTAAAAATACACCGATAGATTTTATAACGAAGAATACACTTTTGTTACATTTTCAATCCTCAATTTTATACACCGTATATATATTGAATTAATTGATCATTCAATTTTATTTATTCGATCAAAGTTTTAAGGATAGATTTTGGGGTTTTCTACGGCGGTCCGGCGCTGCGTAAATGCGGGTGTTTTCTATAAAATATCGGACTATGTCTCGTATTAATTATGCATACCTCCGATCGGGAAACTGCCAACTTGGCTGCGATTCGAATTCTTGTCGTTTTGTTTCGAATTCGAGCGCACATTTGTTTCGCGTGATTTTATTTACTGCGCCGATCCTTCATTTAGTACCTGTCCGTTCGACCGAATTAGCTTTAATTACGATCACTCCGCTTTACCCAACCACCCAAAATAAATGGCAATTATTATATTATCTCCCATCCTTCTACTTATAGACACCTACTCTTAAATTTCTTGAAGATTCATTGAATATTTTTGGAGTTAAGAAAAAAATAGATTTTTAGTTAGCGCACTTTAAACAAGCTATAAAAGTAACTTGTTTTGTATACAACTCCAGGAATATGGTGATATAATTTAAGACCCACCTTTTTGTTACACAATGTGTATAAAAGAATACAAAAATTCTATACAGGCATTAGTATCTGTTTAATCGATTCTCGTAGGACAAAGAATAAAGCATCGTCCTTCCGGGCGCGTCTGATATTATTAATTCTCCTTCGGCAATAACGCGGGCGATGGAATTGCGGCCGACGCGACGTCCGCGCTCGTTTTCAGCAAAAAGGCATCGCGACGGTGACGACTGTACGCTTTCGAACCGAACCATCGAGCCCCGGCCTATTTATAAACCCGAATTATGAATAGGGATTTTAATAGAGCGCCAGCCGGAGCTCCGTCAGTCGAATTTTCATTGTGACTTACAGGCAATTTAGTCGAAAAATCTATTCGGGACGCATATTAACCGGCGCACCTGCCGAACACTGTATCATCTTCGTCGATATCCACGTACACGGTGGCCCAGAACCGATCAATTGCGGTACTTGCAAAATTTATTTCTTCTTATCCTTGTAAATAAATAGTAACAAGAGTGATAATCACAACAAGAATATTAGGTACTAAACATGGTATTTAGAAGAAATTTGCATTAGAAGCAACCAATTGGAGTGTTAAACAATTATTTGCAAGTACTTATAAAAGCAGGGATGTTAGTTAATTGAGCCACTGGGTATCTTGAAGTCGATCCGTCCGTGTCTCAGCCAATCGACTCCCGTCTCCTAATCAAAGATTTCTATATTTATAATGTGTCGTCCGCGTGTGTGCGAACGTGTGCGTGCGTGTATGACGCCGGCAGGTGACAATATATCTTATTTTCTGAAGTTTCATCGGTTATGGACGCGATCCGACGCGGAACGGCCGGTGGCTGTGAAGTCGGAGTTACGTTTCAATTATTGTAATATCGCGGTCGTTGTGTTTTCTCGCTGCTTTCGACGGGGAATTTCCCGGATACGGTCCTGTCCGGGGATCGGAGAGGAAAAACAGATCGTATCGTCGCGGGACGTATTTAAAAAAAACCAAAGTCGAAATGGAACATAAGGCAATTTCCTATAAAATATGAGAGATGTATACGGCTACAACTTTCCTCCTATCTGCTCATTTTTTAAATACATTTCTTAATTACTGGAGGGAGCCGAGTTTACGATGGCGAAATTCAGCGGCGGAACAACTACAATTATTATTTTCTATACACGTTATCAATTAATTACACACTAACATAGTTATAGATCATACATCCTGTATATATTTGAGTTACCTAATATTTGCAGGTGCTGATGAATGTATACATTGAATAATCAAACATGAAAGGAACATACAGTAAACAGTAATTATTTGTGAAAATTGGCGGGCCTCTGGGCCGCCCCCGCCCCGCCGGCCGGGCTCCCTTTTCCGAAAGAAAATAACGTTTTCTTGTAGAATATTTATAGGTTTGTGATTTTATCGTGTGTTTCGGAACGCAGACAAACAAAAACAGCGGTAATGGATTTTTGTCCGGGCGGGGCGCGAATAGGGCCGGCGGGGCGGCGGGGCCTCGGAAACATCGGGATCAAATGGCGAAATGAAAAGGTTTTTAATGGGCTCGTTTTCCTAAAGTTAAATCCTGATATTTGCGGTCGCCGCTCGGGCGTGTACTTTCATCGAATCTTTGCGAAAGATTACGCCGGGGACCGAGAAAAAATATACAACCGCGACGATTTCGTGTATAATTTAGGTCGATTTATACCGGGTGTTTAATTAAATTTATATGTACCTACACAAACTAATAATATTTTCGTGGATGCCTTTGTATTATGCGTTAAATAAAGGAAAATAAATTCCGAAAACAAATTACGATGCGTTCGAAACTGAGTGTATTTATATGTATATTATTCGAAGCGAAATTAACATAAATTTCGTTTCGAAAATGGAACGTCGAACGGAGAGATACAGAGAGAGATAGGAATTTGCGTAATTTTAATTTTATTAAATTTGGATCGATGCCTACATAACAGATGTCCTTACTAATTGAACTTTAATGTAGCAGTTCGTTTGAATACAGATAAATATCAAGTTGCATTTTCGTTTATTTGTATAATAATATACTTACAAATAAATACGAAAATATTATTACTGTTAAGTAGTCATTATATTTTTTCAGCATCATATACAGTCTCATTGTAAAAGTATTTAGTTGGCTGGTATATAGGAAATATTTATTTAATTTAACATTTGGTAGGTATCAGTTTCTAAAATAGCCGTCGAATGGTGTTCTATACGAAATAAAAAAATGTGAAAAATGCGAGTCGAAATCGAAATGTAAAAATAACGCTTTACACCGAAACCGATATATCCCTGTCGGGTGATGTACGGTCGCTCCTCTACCTTTTAATCTTTTATAAATATTCGTTTTACTCGTATTATTTTTATTGAATTCCTTCGAAAGCGAGACGACGATTTTTCCGAACCATCAACGACGGGTTCGGTTGAATGATAAACGGACGTTGATAAATACGGGAAGATACACACGCAAGTGCGGCTCATTTGATATAGATGTACACCTACCTTCCCACTAACTTTTTCTTATTTTAATAACATTTTTTACACTCCCGAAATCGCGCGAAATCCTCTAATAAATTCCGAAATTTGACGCCCAGAACAAGGAAACAAATTCCCCGGGATCTCGAGGAATAATAAGCGGTTGCATCGGCTGTCACCGCCGCCGAAAAATCCGCGTTATTTCCCACCGACGATAAATCGCGGCTCTACAACACGGCGACGGTTATTTTTCGAGTGTGCACGGATAGATAAATTTACACATATACAACGAAAATAAAAATACACATAATTTATTTAGGCGAAGATTTTTAAGAAAAGCCATCACCTTAAGTACGGGCATAATTCATGCGTTCAGAGGGGGTCGGAAAAACCGTTTCCAGTTTTGTCTGTGTACTGGGAAGCGCTGAAAAGTGGCGTGTTTATGGTGGAAAACGCGGGATCCGAACGAAGAAATATCGCGTGTTTTTCTAAATATTTACCCGAAAAACTGATTGTTATGTAGTTGGTGTCACAGTCATTTATAAAAAATTATAAGTTTTTGAAAGATGCTATAATTTTCAATTACTTCCACATTTAGGTAATTTAAAATTCTTTAAAGCGGTAAAAGAAATTGATGTCCAAAACCTGCAGATAGGTCAGTGAATTTTATTAACATAACTTCTCTCTGATATACTTTGTATATCAAAAAAAAACTAGGACAAAATAACAAGAATTGGAGCACTTTTTAAGTTATTCCCTATATGGATGTATAAATGAAATATCTTACTATTTACATAGAGTAAGTATAAAATAAATTCATGAATACATTTAGGTCCAATGTGATAATACACTTACGCGCATATTCGTTTTTATTTTCCCGCAAAATCCAACAAAATTCGATCCAGTCAGTATAACCAATGAATCGAAGAACCGCCCCCGCGGGTGCGATTTCCAATCAATCGAATCCGAATTTTTACGGTATCGACACCGACGACGGGCCGTCGTGAGCCTCTTCTCAGGGCGTCTCCCGTCGCCGCGACCGTCGCGGCGCTTCCCGATGCTCCACGGCGTCGGCGTCTACAAAAATCGAACATCTATACTAGAATGCGCAAGAAGTGAGGTCGAGAGGTCAGAGGTCGGTAGAGAGAGGGGGACGAGGCGGGGGCGAGAGAGGCGGGCGAGGGGGCCCGGGGGAGGCACGGTCCACCGATCTGATGGACTTTTTTACGATACTCGTATATAACTATATATACACATCCGAGGCTGGTGTTCGATATCGGATCTCCTGGTTTTACTGCGACGCTCTCCCGCGCTCGCTCGGGACTATGTACACATAGAGGCCTTCGGTACATAGAGGTGTATATAGGGCTCGTATTGGTTCGATCAGTTTTCAATATCTCGAGGAAAAAGGATATCGGGGCGGGACGATTGATAGGTTGGAGGTGATTGGGGGCGGTAGCGGAATTTTCCTACGTTGGGACGGTCCTAGATTACTTTTTTTATCTATTATTAAATTATTTATTGATTGCATAAACTAGCTATACATAATAAAACCGCTAGCAAATACTGAATTTTCCTCCAAAGTCTCTTCTAAAATCACATCATTTTTATTACATATTATATTCTCTATAGTTATTGAATCTTGTAAAATAATTACTGTCAAGTAATATTTTTCTAATGACCTAATAAGCTTTGCCTCGGTCGATTACCTCATAATCACTCCTATAAATTATAAATCAGTTCACAAAATTCTCGTCACGCGAATTTTAATCAAAATCGATGTTTACGCGACCGAGATGAGGAACCTCGATGGAGATCCATCGTTCGATGTCGCAGCTCCGAGTCGGGCTTTTTAAATAATACGTAGAGGAACAGGGAAAGACCGCCGTGACTGGAGAGTATCGATTTTATACGTGATGTCTGTACTGCGCTTTTCTAGTTTTATTAATCCGATTCTACAAATTACATCGAAGTCCCGAACGGCCGGAGCGAACGGAGAGGAGCTACCGATGGATGGATGCGAAATAACTTTTTTGCGCGACGACGTCGACGGCGACGCAGAGATGAGACGTGAACGGTTATTCTGGAGGAGATTTCACGGTTTGTTGCATATCAGGGTTCACGTCACTGACTATACCGGATCGATTGCTAGTTTCGTCATCGAAATAAAAAATATCTCGTTGAATTTCTACTACGATTTCTTCCAGTTCATCCCGAATGGTTCTAAACCGTTCTGAAAACTTCTAGTTTATCCTAAATACATCTGAACACTTCTAGTTCATGATGAGTAGTTTTAACCTGTTCTGAATAGTTCTATTTCATCCAGAATGGTTCATATATGTTCTGAAATTTTCTAGTTCTTCTTGAATAGTTCTGAATACTTCTAGTTCATGCTGATTAGTTTTAACCTGTTCCGAATAATTCTATTTCATCTTGAATGGTTTATAAGTGTTCTGGAATGTTCTGAATAGCTCTATTTCATCAAGAAGATTCATATTATGCTCTGAAATCTTCTAGTTCTTCTTGAATAGTTCTGAACACTTCCAGGTCATCTTGAACACTTCTAAAGTGCTCTGAACAGTTCTAAGTTCATTCTGAAGTATTCTAATCTCCTCTGAATACTTCTAGTTCATCCTGAAGAGTTCTAAATAATTTTTCTTAGTTCTAATTCATACTATGCGGTAAGCGGAGAGTGGAGGCATCATTCTCTAATAAATTAAATGAAAAAAGAGACACAATACCTACATAGATTTTATTCCAGCACTTAAATTTTAGATATAAATATGCACGTCCATGGGTGGTACGAGTTTATGAATTTACATAGCAGCCGAAACTATTCTAATCTGTACTTAGTCGATCCTCTTCGAATGAACATTAACCGAACTAAGTTGTGGTCATCATCGGCGGCGGTGTCTAAGTTCCTCGGCGTTTTAATCAAGTTCACGCGAACACAGGAGATAATTGCTTATAATAAACGTAAACGTTTGCGGAGGCCCGAATTACCCCATAAAGCGATTATTGATTAGGAGAGATCTTTCGCTACAGGTGCCATATTCCTCTGTACAATTTTACTACCGATGGTGCTGTAGAAGGTGCCGAAGATGATGATGTAAAAATTTTGGATCAATCAATATTTATCGCACCAAGAACTTTAGATATGTATGGTGCATGTGGTTAAGTACATTTTTAAGTTTACTCCTTTTCCAGTTTGTAAATATTATTTGGAAATCAAAAATTGCAGATACCTACAAATTTTATCAAAGTATTGAGATGAAATTTCTATCATAAATTGTGTAAGGTACTTGTAAAAAATAAGCTGCACTCACTGCATCATTATTGTACAAATTGTTGTGTGTATAAAATATTTTTGGATAAATAGGAATATCAATAATTTTCGTACACCGGGAGTTTCAATTTTTCTATGTGTATCTGGTACAGAATGTGTCGATGTGTGTGCAATATGCAATATGCAACGGCTGCAGCGGCGCGTACACAATGCAGTTCGGCGTTCGGTCGAGTTTCGGTCTCGTCGCATTCGCGTTTCGAGATAATTGATATTATTACGAATTAGCACGTCCTCATTAGAGGCTTTTTAGCATTTCAAATGTGTGAAAAATTGCGAATGTGGGTTGAGCGACGAACTCGCGCGTTTTTTGTTCGCCTGTTTTCGCCTATTGTTTGGCGAAATTTCGCGTCGTAATTTCTCGTTTTGCGTTGTCAAATTGATCGAAAAATTGTTTGAAAAAGTCCGCTTGGAGTTACACCAACAAAAATGCTCTATGCATCTCTATAATAATTTTATACCCTGGAAGGGTTATTATTGGTATATAATAAATGTTCGATTTCCTTGTAAACAGTAGACCATCACTGTTTCCAGGTAGGTACCTGCATCTAAGAAATTTTACATTCCGTTTGACGGCACATGTCCAATTAAAAATATACTCATTAGTTTCGAAATGCCATTGTCACTTATGAGCCGACGCGAAGATGCAATTGTACGGTTGAAAGAGAATTCTCAGGTGCGTATTTTCGCAACTGCAATAATGAACTCAAATTTAGAGTAAACTATATACACATCAGTCGGTAGACAATAAAAAATACTTAACGAGGCAAACCATTTCGAAATACACAGTTGGTAGAAGCTATACCTTACAATAATCAATTCAACGATCTAGATTTCTATACAAATATACCTTATAGAGAAGCAAATATGTTAATTTAATTTTTTAAGTACATATTAAGATTACGAGATGCGTATTTACCTAATTTGTATTGTTAAAGGAGCGAGTCCAGCTCTGTTTCTGTACGACAAACGCCAAACCAAACAAACTCGCATCGCACTTGCTCGAGTAGTTTCCTTAGACTGGAAAATGAAAATAGAGTCAAGTGTTTTGAATCATAGCAAGTGCGAACAATTGGAATACGGTTGTATTTTTCACTTGTTTCTTATTCGCCTTCTTTTGTTCTTGCAGGCTTTTGCTATTATTGCGCGGACGAATTGTTTTTTCTGTTTCTGTTTTCGGTTATCGTTGGTCAATGGAATCCTTTGATTTATATTTATTTTTATACTTTTTTTAATGCATTTTTAAGAAATCTTCAAATGAATATACAAGACAGAAAAATCACTCAAATTTATTAACATTATCTTTATCTTTGACTGCAAATACAGGGTTGGGCAAAAGTCCGGAATAAAATTATTATCTGTTAAACCAGTAATTTAAACAAAAAACGCTGAAACACGTAAATTGATTTTATATTGGACGGATTTGTTGCCAATAAAATAATTTTTTTTCTTCAACCCCTTAGTTGCAACCCAACCCAACTTTATTTTTTCAAATGCAAAGGTATGTCGTGTGTAGGGTCATTGAAAAGCCCGTGAAAAATGGAATCTAAAACATACCTTTTTTTTATTTTTCTCATGTTGTTATTTGGAAATGGACAAAAAATTCTTTTAAAAACAAATATGTTACAAATACTTTTTTAGTGGTATCGACGTGTGAATTAAGGCTTACTCTACTTAACAGGCTCCAAGGCAATGGTAAAACCTAATATCGGTAGCCTATCTTTAATTCTGAATGAACTTTTATTAAAAGCAGGCGAGCCTGGTCAGGCAGCACACCAAATTTTATTGATTTACCGTTTAAAACTGATAAGGCAATTTAGCATCAACATTCGTTGAAATTTATGTTTTAAGAAAAAACAAAAACATAAAATGGGTTTAAATCTAAGCCATTGTTGATCAGTGAACTTCAAAAAGGAAAACAGGTGTTGCATTTTTGTACAAGTTTTTTTTACCAAAGGTTCGCCTGTTTTTATTAAAAAGTCATTCAGAATTAAAGATATGCTATCGATATTACGTTTTACCAATGCCTGGGAGCCTGTCAAATAGATGGTGAAGGGCATTTTCAACATTGCTACGTCGATAGCACTAAAAAGGTATTTGTAACTTTTTTGTTTTTAAAAGAAATTTTTGCTCATTTCCAAATAACAACATGAGAAAAATAAAAAAAAAGGTATGTTTTAGATTCCATTTTTCACGGGCTTTTCAATGACCCTACACACGATAAACCTTTGCATTTGAAAAAATAAAGTTGGGTAGGGTTGCAACTAAGGGGTTGAAGAAAAAAAAATCATTTTATTGGCAACAAATCCGTACAATATAAAATCAATTTACGTGTTTCGGCGTTTTTTGTTTAAATTGCTGGTTCAAAAGATAATAATTTTATTCCGGACTTTTGCCCAACTCTGTATACATGGATAAAATAACTTTGTATGGTACATATGTATCTTCGAACATCATTGTACAGCAAAAATTGCAAGGTAAAATTCTTGTAAAACCGATAACCCAAATCGCCCGAGTGAGCCGCGGTTAATGATTTTGTTCTCCGGGTCGAGGTGTAGCGTTTTCGACGTGGAGCAAAAGCGAGAGCACATAAGGAGCGAACGCAGAAGAGGAGAAATCAATCGTTCCTCACACACCCATATTCCCGTCCCGCTTCCCCCACATCGGCGACCGACCGGCTATAGATGCATCGGCTGCGGCCTATAACCCGATATCTCCGATCACTACTCCCACTCCGGCCGTTGCGATTGGTCGACGCGCCGCGCAGAATCGATATATAGCTATTCTATTGCTATAGATGACTACCTATCGAACCAATCGAGAAGTATATAGGGCCCTATGTACCTGGGATGACGATTTTCTCGGTAATGGGTATCCGATTGGTCCGGTACCCGCTCGTTATTTCGCCGATAATTGCCGTCGGTACCCTAATTTCGTCGGAAAAATTCCGGATTTTTGCCATACGAGGGTCGCGCGATATATAAAGCTCGGTTTGATCTCGTGCGACAGCGAACTCCCTAAACGAATATATAGTCTATTAAAACTTACTTTGTAATCGTAAACCATAGAGTAGAATTGCGCAAATGGAATACAAAGAGCATTAAATGATTGTAATAAGGCGTTTTATGTTTAGAAAGGTTTGAGTTTAATTTTAATTTCCTCTTTAAGTAAGTATAAGGCTTTCATTTATAACATATAACAAAATCGTTATTTTATTTTTTTAATAAATTACAATAATAAACAACTAAATTGAAATTGAATTCTATAACATTCAATACAACCCCCGTATGTAGGTAACCTGTAGTAAATTTTAATGCAGGTATTAAACGATCATTAAAACTAGTTGTCCCATAAAAGATGGTAAAAAAAAACTAGGTCACGTACCATACACACACACACATACACACGCTCATCCAGACACCATCCCCATCCTCTCGCCCTGCACCCGCGAAACCTCCCCCTACTTTAGCGACGACAAGGACGTCGACCGCTCTCTTCCCTTTTGTGGTACGTCGTGTGTTGTTTCGGGTTTTCTCTTTTCTCCGCTTTTATTGATCGAAGAGAGCTACAACTAGTGTTTGATCAGTCCGGGCCGTTCGTCGTCTGTCCTGTCCATCGCCGATGCCGATGGATGCTGAAGAGCGACGGGGCCGCGTTGGCCGGGGGGGCGGCGAGGAGCGCCGGCGAACGGGAGGCGGACGAAAGGGGGACGGGTGCACGGCGAGCTACCGCCGGTTCGAGGCGGCACTGGAAAAGTGCACGCGTTTCTTGCGACAAGTCCGAGTGTATATATGCAAACGAGCGGGTTTACGAGGGGCGCGACGAAAATATAATCCGTTTTTGTTGATGGGGTATATTCGATTCTTCGTTCGAGATTCGTTATCTTGTGGATAGGTATTAGGTGAGGCGACGTCGCGCGTGACGATATAGGACATTAACATTTATTAAACAAAAACATACATAAAATCCATCCAAATACAATTATCATCGTTTTTACAGTTATCTGTCTACACCAGACCATGACTTTCTCCTTTATCTTATTATTTATAATTCCTAAGCAAACACAAATCTAAATTAAAACCACCGTTCCGTGAAAAATGTAAAGAAAATGGTCGATGTTTAGTGCTCATTGACGGATGTTAGGGGGTATTAAATGATTACAATAAAACCATCATTTTTACCATTTCAACACTATAAATACACCAAAAATCCTATTTTTCGTAAAAATTATATAAAGAAACTATTGGAATAAATAATTTATTTTTTGTTAGATAGAAATTTATTACGCCGCCATTGCTTCAGTACAATAGGTAGGTAAACGTTATTTTTTAGTGTTATTGTTCGGTTCAATTAAAATCAGAACCTTTTTCATCACGTTTTTGTTCTACGTTGTGTGACAACAATAAAAAAAAACTGTCGGTACTCAAAACGCGGAAGTACCGAAGATTATCGTCCTGTGATTTTCTGTTCCGTGATTTCGAATTTTTAACGACTCGTGTAATCATTACGGCGACATTTGTCTATTTTATTTAATCGGCTTCTACATATAGAAGAATTAATCATTACCTTATACAAGTAGGTAATTTTTGTTGTATTGTAGAACAAAACTTTTATCGAATCAACACCCATAAGGAATTTTCGCGTTTTGAAATTGGGAACGGAACCGGTCAATTTGTGGGATGGATATAAAAAAGAACAAATGTGGGTTTTTTAATCGTACAAACGATTCGAGCACATTAAGATTAAGAATCTCCCAAGCAAACATTGATAAATTATCCTTCTCTCCATCCCGCTATCTTGCTAATAGAAACCCATCGGTTTCGTGTTAAATTTTTCCACACCGTTCAAGACACGTGTATTAGCATTTCGTCGGGGCAATTCGGCACATACACCGCACTTCACGTGCCGCGACACGTTCGATATATGCACCGTCGTCGGCGGCTCGTCAATCCGCCACCCTCCCTTGCATCACCCCAATTAAGCCGAATGCAGGCCGCGGCGCGGGCGGCCGGGGGTGGCGCGAACGGGGAAGCCTTACACTTGACCTAGAACGGGGCTTCGTGTTGGATAAAAATGTAGGTCAGAGACCTGCTGTTGCTCCACTCTCGATGGCCGACGGCTGCGAAACGCAGAGGGGTGCTGGCGGGCGATATATGTGTGTCGAGTGGGCTCGTTTTTGCCAACGGGGGTCGTCGAACCCACTCGATGTATAGTTTCCCGCGGGTGCGTAACTGCAAACAAACGCACTTAATTCAACCCCAATACTCTATAATTTTCTTCCATAGAAATTATTACAAAAATATTTATTCCCCATAATTGTCAGTGATCATCAAACCATCTTTGCTTATCATATCTAATCATTCAATTGCTTCCAAAAAATGAAGGAATTGCTTCAAGGTATATGCATAAAAAGAAGTAAAGGAAAGAAGTTTTACTTCGAGGACATGCACTACTGCTGCTTTATAGCAAAAGGTTTTATGGTTTTGAAACCTTTGTTTAAAGTTTTAAAACCTTTATCTCTTATTTTTTGCGTTTATACCTTTTACTTTAAAGTATGCTTCATTTTTATAAATATGGACTAATATGTCAGCTCGTATACCTAACATTTTAGAACCTACACCAGTGGAATCTATCACTAGAATCTACCACTGTAAGAATCTACCACGGATTCTACCAGTGGAATCTACCAGTAGAATCTATACCACTAGAATCTACCACTAATATTAGAATCTATCACTAGAATCTACATATATACCAGTAGAATTTAGCACTAAAATCTACTTATCTAATAATAGGTATGTTTGATTATCAAACTTTTAATATGAAATTTCTGATTCATCTTTCGTGTTTCTAACTCTAACTTTTACTAATAATAATTGGGCAAAGGATGTTTTCCTGTGAGAACAACTTACAAAATATATAATTTACTATCATAGCACATCATTAATGTTACCTGCCTGAAAGATTGAGTCATGGAGTAGTGACTATAGTTATTGTTGTGGTC